AAGATTATCTTCTGTGTCTGTGTTAATTGGTTTCCTTTTCTTTGTTGAAGAGGGTCTGTGCAATCCTTCTGCCTAGTCCGCCATCTTGCCCCGCCTCCGATTTCTTTCTTTTTTTTAAGCACAAATTTGTTTGTGAGTCAGGTTGGCTTTTCTGTATGTAAGTATGTTAAAGCATTCTTAAAGTCTGATGATCAGATTTCTACAGCACATACAAAGTAAATTGCTAATTTAACCTACTGTTTTGTGGAAAGAATGGAGTAATAACAAAATTCATCGACTTAATGAAATTATCAGTAAATATATTTTGGAATTGAATATATCAATCTAAGACGTAAGTGTCTGCTTCTACCAGAAATGTTTTTCAATTGTAGGTTTGAAATCCAAGCTTCTTGTTCATTTCAAAAACCAGGAACAAATTTACTAAAGGTACCTACAGAGCATTCCAGAATCTATGGTATTAGAATAATCAATTTTCCTCATCTGTCTTGAGCCAAGAGGTTCTCTCATCTGCTCAACACTGAGCCTTGAGAGATACTCACCTTCCCCATTTCTCTTTAAAAAATAGTCCTAATACTATCCACAGTATCAAACAGTATCTCAGCAGGAAAAGATGTCACACTCATAAGTATCTGAGGAATGTTTTATAAAGGGACTTATCAGAACTGTGGGCTAGATAAGAAAAACCAAGAGATAATGTATTAGGAAGGATGGGCATGAAGGAGAAAAGGATGAAGAGGTTACAAACTAAATTGAAGGGATCCCACACGGAGAAAGTTGTGGCTATAACATCCCAACCACAAGCTTCTTTACCAGTTCTCCTGGTGCTCCCCACTGGCTGAATCCAGCAAGAAGCCCGAGGGAGCTCTGCTGAAGCAGTCCCCACCCAGCAGCCTTCAGGGACACAGAGAAAGGGCTGACAGGGGTGGAGAGTGTATCAGAAACGTTAAGTAAGAGAAATGCAGCAGGCCCACCAAGAAAGGGGAAGACTTGAGCTTTTCAATGCCTAATCATGGAAGGCTCTGCTTCTACGGGGCAGGACACCATCCGTACACTAGCTACTATTCCCAAGCCCCAGAGAAGAGGTCAACATTAATGAGAGAAAAATGAAGATGAACTAACCTTTTCTAGTTGATCCACTTTTTCTGACCATTCCTGAAACAAAACAACAAAAAAAGGTACAGTGTCCAAGGAAGAGTATTAGTAATGCCAAGATTTTTTGGAAAACAAGACAAAAAGCCCACCTTCTCCCCAAAAGCAAACAACCAACCAAACCAAAAAGAATACTAAAAAAAAAAAAAAAAAAAAAACCCATGAACTTGGCTTAGTATTAAGAATGCTGACATGTCCTAAAAGAAGAAAAGGAACTTTTTATACAGTAGCTTTTTATACAGGACACCCAGGCAAAGCTGTATATTCTGTTCTTTTACAGCAGCTAAGTTGGGCAACCCTGCAATTGCTGAGAAATGAATTTACTGAAAGTAGAGAGGTTATCGTCAGCAGTCCCTGATAATTACTTTCTTTCTCCTCTTGACAACATGCTTTATGTACCCAGTATCAGTAACCTGGTATTCACAAACCGTAGAAAAGGGGGAAAAGGCCATATTCCAAATCCCTACAACTAAAATGGACTGATTTTCAATTATTTACTTCATCTTATATATTCATACCATAGTTATTCATGAGGTTTGATGAAATGAGTTTTTCCCTGGTAAGTAAATGCCATAGATGACCAATATATACTTCAAACCAAACGAGTCAACTACCTAGCTATTGTAGATAAAATAAATAATACATTTTCTTAAATAGAATATAATGTAATAAATTGACCCTGTCTTAATACATTACTATTATAACACACTGATTTGTATTTTAAATTAAAAATGTCATTATCCTGAACAAAATATACTTCCTAATTATTGTAATAGCCAGTAATGATATACTTTTCCTTTCTTGCTGTCATTCACTCAGCATTTCCAATGGATAGTTCTATTGGAATTGCCACTAAGCAGAGCGGCAATTATGGATGATGGCCAGCTTGACATCACCTTCTCCACTATAGCAGGCAAGTGTTTGTGGGCCTAGGCTTTAAGACAGGTTTTCAGAGGGCAGAGATCTCCCTCCTTATTTGGGGATCTCCACCAAACTACAGACACACTATTTCTTGCTTTCATTCTATAACGCTACACAGTAGCAGAGAATGATACTATTGCATTGTGGGTACATTTCACAATTAAAACTGAAAAGTTTCTTGATGATTTCCAACCCTAAGTCCAATGAAACCTTATAGGAGTTATCATTCCTCTTCTCCTAGGTTGTAAGTATTTTCTACCAGGTTTATGTTATGATTTTTAAAATCATGTCACTAAGTGAAATATGACTCCATGCGTCTCAGGCAGTGCCACGTATAAAGTACCTGGTCCTTTCTGGCTAATGTCAAAGCCAGTCCTTCTGCCATTTTGGCTCTGTTGGCTTGGAATGTCTCATTCTGCTCATGAAATTTCCGCATGGAAGCTGTTAACAAAGAGGCTCTATTTGAGATAAGGAAATATCCCAGAAACAGCATGACAAACGAAAAACATTTCTACGTGATTACTTCAAAATTGTCACCTAACATAAAAGGCTCTCGTAGCATAGTGCCTAAGGCACTTGACTGCTAACCAGGAGGCTGGCGGTTCAAACTCACCAGCCACTCCTTGGAAGGAAGGTTGGGCAATCCTACTTCCGCAGCGATAACTGCCTCGGAAACCCAAGGAGGGGTCGCTAGGAGTCGGGGGCCGACTCTATGGCAAATAACAACAACAACAACATAAAAGGCCAAGGCCACGTACGTGGATTGTAAGACTGGGAAGAGCCTGGTCCATCCTGACTTTCCCAGAAGTATCTTTTGGCTTTAGTAATGGACCACCATTTTCTTTGTTGTTTATTTCCTGTTGGTTTTATTTTTCTAATAGTCAAATAAATACATTTAGGAAGATCCAACAGCAACTTCTTAAACCACACAATGATAGAACACTAAGGTAGCTTGCCAGAAAACACCAACGTTGTCGCTAAGTGATGGCTACTACCATTTTTTGAGAATTAAAAACAAAACTTAAAAGAAACCTTTCTTTCACTTTTTCCTTTTAAAAGTTTTAGTAACATATTGTATCAACAATAAATAACTTTTTACTTTCATTAGCATCTTTCTTGGATAGAACCCAAAGGAGAATACAGAATTTAAATGTATGCTCTCTTGTTGGAGGAGTGATAACAGTCAGACTTTCCCCAGTTACTGAACATAGCAGCTTTAAGCTAAGGCTAGAACCCACGTCTCCTACTTGAGACTCAAAGGCCAGCCACTACATTTCACTGAAACCTAACGGCAGCCAATAAGCTGGTCAACTGGGTGGAGGCAAGTTGATAAACATAAATAATGAAGTCTTCCTAAGAAGCATGCGTATAAGGCAACTTAATGTTGTATACATATAAATATCAGACAAATATTATGTATCAAACTGTTCAAGCAGCACATTATTTATAAAATGAAGATTTGCTTGATGAGGAACAAACACATATACACTATTATTTAATATCAAAAAACTAAACCTTGGAAAGATTGAAAAAGCAGGAAAAAATACATACAATCCTGGTGCTTTTCTAATGCAATTTCGAGCTTCTCTTTTATCTTCTGATGGTTTCGGACCTGTTCAGCATAGTCTTGGGTGAGAAGGGTGACGCACATACCAGGAATGGACAAACATCAGGAAAGGAAGTTAATTAAACAACAAAAAAATGAGTGAAAAATGATGATGACTTTCTCAACCTGAAAACCATTCCTGTTAAGCAAAGCTAGGCAGACAGCCTCCTGTTAACAATGAATACAGGCAAACAGGCATGGTACAAATATCCACGGTGTAAATGGTGAATACAAATATGCAGATCTGTTCAGCCTTCAGAGGGAATAAAAATCAGGCCTGGTCTGTTCATCAGAAATGCCCTGCTATGAAGAACATGCCGTCATCTCATTACTTTATTTCAAATCTCACTTTCCCACTCTCTGTTCCAGACTCAGCAGTAGGGTAGGTCAAAGGAACTCTCTGAACAGCTTGCTCTTAGTCCACATAACTGAGCTAACAGTAGTTAGAATAACAGCAAACACTTTAGTACAGTATCATCTTCATGGTGAAAGTACTTCATTCTCTAGAAAATTCAGCTTCCTTCCTACAGAGGAACTAGGAACTGAGCTGCCTATGCCATATTCAAGGTAAAAGAATTATTTACCTGGTGGCAAGAGAAGACGGTATGGTATGGTGGAAAAGCAGACTTAAGTTCAAATCCCAACTCTGTTAGTTTTTAGCTGGCAGACTTTAACCTAAGTATTAGTTCCATCATTTATCAAATGATGGTAAAAGCACCTGGCACACAGTGCTCAATAAATGATAGCTGCTATTATTATCATTCATACCAAGCCTGTAGGACAATAACCAGGACAGAAAAGGGCTCAATAAACGCCAGTTATCTTCCTGGTCCCTTTTCTAGTCAAGCCCAAATTATTCTTCCTTCTTTCTGTCTTAGGGAAAGTGTACCTTGTTTTGTAGATATCAAATGAAAATTAGATAAATTTAAAGTTATTTGACCTCTATTATTAAAATTATTTATGGGTAGGGGTAACATGATAGTAACAAATTGAAAGCATGCTGTGGTTAAGAGCATGAACTCTAGCATCAGATGAACAGGAATCTGGACTTCAGCACTACCACTTACTCCTTATGAGACTCTACCTTTGCTAAGCCTAATAAAGCTGTTGTGAGGACTAAGTAAAACTATGGATGAACTGGCAGCTGTGAATTAGGCCATGCATTTTTAATACTTGCACAAATGCAAATACTTCACATATTATTTGGTGAATTTTATGATCAGTTGCTTTCACTCCAATAAAATGGGTATAAGGCCAAGGGGCAAAAAGAGACAGAGAAGGTAGGGACCCTTTCACAGGACAAACCTTTCAAAATGTATGCACTGGCAGAAACCAACACAAGGATTCATGATCATGCCCTACTCAGGCAAAGGACACAATGGAGTTGTGTAAACTAAACTTTTGCACACAAAAGAGGTAATGAGAGTTACAGCTTTTATACGGGCGTTAAATTTAAAAATACCATTGAAAAGTCATCCAAAGACCCAGCACGACACTTAAGATGGGTGACATATAGCTGTAACAAGTGGTAACAAAGCACCAAATCCTCTCTGGTGCAGCTAAATACAACATTCGTTTCTCATTCTCTGGAAATACTATCCCCTCCCCTCCTGCATCTGAAAGTAAGCTCTGCTAGTGAATGAGAGATGCCAAATTTGTTCTACACACGTCTCTGACACCTTCTTCTCTGTCGCTAGAAATCTCAGGAGCAAAAAAACATAAAATGCTTTTTTAAAAAACCCTCAAACTGAGTTTTGCATTTATCTTTATGCAACACACTAAAAAAAGAAAAAAGAGAGCAAAGGGGGTATAAATTGTTCCTTTTTGACAGCAATAAAAATTATATGTCAAAATAACTAAATTTATCTCACATGGCTATTTCATAGGGAGAGAAAGTCAGGAAAGTTTCCTGTTGTTTGCTTTTCATGAGTTCTTAGACGTACCAGAAAGTCTGGCCTCCAACTTCCGTATCTGTTCATTCCTTCTTAAAAGCTGGGATGAAAGATCTTCTCTGGAGCTGCTTCCATCGGAAGCCTGTTGAGACAAGACCCAAGGAGAGGTAGTATTCACACATGGGATTTCATCCGCATGAGACCAAAGCACTGAACTAGAAAGGCAAGACAACTTCTATTTTAGGTTTGGTTACATTTATACTATCTGTGATCACTGAAAAGCTACTTAATACATCTGGGTTCTAGCTTCTCTACCTGTAAAGTGGAAGCAACTCCACCTTCTTTCTCCATTCATAATGTAAAGGAGATCGAAGAATGCTAAACAGAGAAATTACACACACATATACACAATTGGTGGTAAATAAGTCCAAATAAACTATTATCATACTACACTAAGTACATAATATAAATATATTTACAATGATAAAAAAAGAGAATCACTTTATTTTTCCAAAAATAAGGTCCTACAATAAGGAGGGAAGGTTTGTTAGTAAGTATCAAAAGTTGTGTCCATGACTAAGAATCGATCACTGACATTGAGACAGTTACTGGGCTTTGTACCCTCGTCTATAAAACAAAAGGGTAGCAATCAATCTAAAGCTCTAACATCATCAGACTTTAGCACACACTATGCTTTCAATAGATCAATCTATTAACTAGACTTTGGTTTCTACCAACAATCCAGGTGATTTTAAAACATATGGAAACTACTACTAGTTTGGGTACTATTTATTATTTCTAATAAATAACTAGTAATATTTATCTTTTCATTTTTTATTATGTTTCAAACATACAGAAAAGTAGGGAGAATGGTTTAATGAGCATTTAATAATTGCTAACATAGTCCCATTATTTGCTTTATTAATTTTTATTTTGTGAAGTACTTTAAATAACAGATACCATGATAGTTTATCCTAAATATTTTGATAAACATTTGCAAAAATAAGGGTATTTTTCTTTACAACCACAATACCATTATCACACTTAACAAAATTTAAAATATTATCTAATACCCAGTCTTTTATCACATTGTCCCATTTTATTCCCCAAATGCTTTAAAGGTAGTTAAGAAATTCACTTCAAATACTCATATGCCCACTCAGCCACTTGTCCACTCTACATATACTGAGTCAGTATAGTGTATAGTTAAGAGGAGAGTCTTGGGAGTTAGAAGGCCTGAGTTAAAGTCCCAGGTTCACCAGTTATAAGCTGGTGGAGCCTGGGCAAATGACTCAACTTTTCTGTGAACTGATTTCCTTATTCATAAACTGTGATAATAAATATTATCTACTTCATAGAGTTGTCATGAGGATTAAATAAGTCAATATTTGTCAAGTTCATTAAACAGAGCCTAACACATAATTAGTTTTAATAAATATCATCTATTATTAGTAGTATAAGAAGCTCTAGTGGGATAGTGCCTCAGGCATTTGACTGCTAACCATAAGACTGGTGGTACAAACCCACCAGCCACTCCTCAGAAGGAAGAATGCAATCCACTTCTGTAAAGATTTACCACCTCAGAAACCCAAAGGGGGTCGCTATGAGTTGGAATTGACTTGATGGCAGTGAGTTTAGAGTTTGGTTTATTATTAGTAGTATAAGAAATTGTTAGGATTATTACTGTCAGTGAGACATCCTGTGTCTGTACTAATCACTGGGAAGAGTGGTGTAATAGAGTCTCAGCTTAAGTTGGCAGCATAAGGAACTACTAATTATGAAATGCTTCCTAAGAGTCAGGCACCATGCTAAGTGCTGTACACACTCTGCAGACAGAGTTAACACCAAAGTCCTAAGACTGCCATCCTTAGATAGGCTTGCTCATAAAGTTGGTCCTCAGCTGGCATCTGGGGACTTAAGATTTCAGGAAGGTTTCCACTGTTGCTGTTAGGTGCCATTGAGTCATCTCTAACTCATAGATACAGAATGAAACACTGCCCGGTCGTGTGCCAGCCTCACAGTCCTTGCTACACCTGACCCCGTTGTTGCAGCCATCTTTGTCAATCCATCTTGTTGAGGGCCTTCCCCTTTTTCGCTGACCCTTCACTTTACCAAGCATGATATCCTTCTCCAGGGAATGGTCCCTTGTGATAACATGGCCAAAATAGGTGAGATGAAGTCTGGACATTCTCGCTTCCAAAAAGCATTCCAGCTGCACTGCCCCCAGGATAGGTTTGTTAGTTCTTCTGGCAGTCCATGTGGTTCAATATACCTAAACCATTTGGACAAGTACTGGGTTTATGCTGAACAGCTGCTTTCCTGTTGGTATGTGTCAGGTACAGGGTGCTTACATGATCAACCCCCAATAAAAACCCAGGATGCTGAGTCTCTAATGAGCTTCATGGTAGACAACATGAAGGGGTTGTCACAACTCACTGCTAGGGGAATTAAGTACATCCTGCATGACTCCAAGGAACCTGATGCCACATTGGTTATTAAAGTGTTTGACTGCTAACTGAAGGGCTAGCAGTTCGAACCCACTAGCTGCCATGTGGGAGAAAGATGTGGCAGTTTGCTTCCATAAAGATTTATAACCTTTGAAACCCTATGGGGCAGTTCTACTGTGTCCTATAGGGCCTCTATGAGTAGGAATCTACTTGAAAGTAGTGGGTTTGTTTTTTTTCATTTTGTATGACTCCACATAGTGCCTAAAGCATTCGACTGCTAACCAGAATGCTGGCAGTTCAAACCCACCAGCCACTCCTTGGAAGGAAGATTGGGCAATCTATGTCTGTAGTGATACTGCCTTGGAAACCCAAGGAGGGGTCACTATGACTTGGATCAGACTCTACGTCAGTGAGTTACTGGAAGATGACTCTTAGAAGTGTGCATCTGGTTCCATCCAGACTTTGCCCCATGAGTCCTTCCCTCTGCTGATTTTGGTTTGTTTCCTTTCCTATAATAAATGATTGTCATTAGTACCATTATATGCTGAGTCCTGTGAGTTGTAGTGAATCATGGAACCTGGAGGTGATCTTGGAGATTCCTGACACACGTATTTTAATAAAAGCAAATACAATTCCTCACCCTACTTTATAGATGTGGAAACTAAGGCACAGAAAAGTGAAGGAAACGAGCAAAAGTTATACAATAATGATGGAGCCAGGACTCAAAGCGAGGTCTGACTCCATAACATGACACAAGTTCCTAACTGCTACACTCTAATGTCTCTCAAGAAGCTCTTAGCTTAAAGAGAGAAACAAGTAAACCATCAAAAAAAATGTAGCATAACAAGTGGTATTACAGAGGTGAGCAGAAGACAAGGCACCGAACTCAGCCAGGAGGGTCAAAGGGTAAGGGTATGTGAGAAGGGCAGACTGGATCAGGGGAGCCTCCTGGAACTAAAACGCGACCGAGCCTTGAAGGATGCATTAGCACTTGTCAGAAAAATGCAGGATAAAAGTGGAAGGGAGACAGGAGACATTTCAGAGAGAGGAATATGCAAAATATACAAACATTGGTAGGCATGAAGGAATGTGGTCCATTCCAGGAGCACAGAGTGTAGGAAAGTGGAGTGATGTGAGGCTGAATAGGTAAGCTGTAATCAGCCCATAGCAGCTTACCATTATACTATTAATAATGAGTTTCTACTTCATCCAGAAGAGGACTGGGAAGCCACTGAGGGGTTTTAAGCACTGAATAGATGTAAACAGATCTTCTTTTTAGAAAGATCATTTTTGGGGAGCTATTGGAGGCATAGCCCCCAGAGGTTGCAACATCTGTCCAAGAGAGAAAAATGGCAGTATAAGCATATGCACTAGGAACAGACAGAGTAGAGAGGGCAAGCTTGAGAGACATTCAGGAAATGGAACCCAAGACACTCATGGACTAACTGGATACAGAGAAATTAACGAGGGAAGAGCTGCAAATGTCTCCAAGGTTTCTGGCTGGTGACTTGAGGGGATAAAGGTACACAATGAAGGTTCACGTCCCTGTGACTTGGAGATGGAGCTAATGAATTCAGTTTTGTACATTTAGAATTTGAGAGTCCTTAAGCGAGGTATCTACATAGAGATAAAAGGATCTGGAGATAAAAGGTGAGGATCAGATTTGTTGATACAGAACGTTCAAGTAGATTACTTTAGACTTCTCAAAGTCCTTAATTCAGACCAATCTCTATACCTGGAATACACTCTAGATGAGAAACTTCCTTTTGCACATCAGCACAAAGGCAAAGCAGGTCATTCTGCTGCAGAACTCGGCATTAAAACTGTACCCTTCACCACGGTATTCAGATGTGTACTTTTATTTCCTGTTAAGTACAGAAGCCAATGATAATTTATATCTGGTAACCTACTGCTCCACCCCAATAACCTAATAGCTCCTGCCATGTAATATGACCTGGGTTTCAGGCAGTATAAGAAAGGAGGAGGAAAACTCACTGGACTATGGAAACAACTCAAATGTCGATCATCAGGAGAAAAGAGAGATAACTTATGGTCTTTTCAAATGTTGGAATATTATACAGCACAAAAAATAAATGAACCACAGCTTCATGTCAGAAATAGGTTGAGGTTAAAAAAGATAAAGAAAAAAAAGCAAGTCCAAGAGAACGAACGACCTGTGTTACACCATTTTTATAAAGTTTAAAAATAAGCAACAAACAATATTTTCAGGCTTTATCCTTTATATGCATATTACATACATTCTTTTATTTATATCAAGTACTACATCCTATCATTTTTCAAAAAGCCACCTTCTGTCACATGTTAAAGACACACTTTAATCCTTAGGCTTAAAATTTCCCTAATATGGCAGCATCCTCAATTTTTGAAATCTTTACAACCACAAACGTACTTTAAAATGGGACGTATTACTGTCATCAGTGACATCTTTGACAATTTTCCATCAACTTTCACAGTAAAGCAGTGCACTCTAGCTAACCTCAAACCACAGCTCTTAGAGCTGGTTAAGCAACAGTAACTTAAAGCATACATGTCTATGGAGAAAACAGGCCCAGGCATTTTAAGAGATGATATGTAAAAGAAGACACACAAGGCATACAGATGGAAAGAGGCTACAAGAGGATAATGTAGAGACTATGGAAAGGGACTCAGAAAAATAAGACAAAAGAAAGCAAGCACCTCTGAGTAAGAAGAATCAGCTGTGCAGAGTCTTGCATAGCTACAAACCACAAAAACTATGAAATAAACAAATAATTTTAGAAGAAAATATCAAAAGGATTCCCATTATTATTTAAAAAGTATATCGACATGGCACCAAATACTCAAAACTAACTAGATACTTACAAAGTCATCTCCGGAGTCAGCTCCCATAGAGGCAACCGATTCCTTGCTCACGGACCGTGGGATCCTAGTAGCACCTCCTGGTCTCTGAGCAACAGCAGTCTCTTCTGCAATTTTCTTCTTTAGTTTTGCAAACATTTTGCTGGGTGGCTGTCCTGCACTGTGGACCAGCTTCTGAACCACCACAGTACTCCTTAAGGCCAGCCACCAGGGATTCAGTAACAGGAGCCTAAAAAGTTCCAGATATCCAAGCCAGGGACGTCCCCATTTAAATTTGGGCCCAGGGTTTATAGCAACATAGTATCTACAAATCAGATGAAAGAGATAAACTCCAAGTTAAACACTGGAGAGATTTCACATATGAGCTTCATGTTTCAAAATGAAGTTTCAGAACTTCACAAGTACGCATGCTTACTAGGACATAGTCACTACGTAATTAAAAAGCCTCAGGGGCTTCACGTGCATATACAGATGAGGAAATCCAGTCTCAGGGAGGTAAGAACCCTGCTCCAGATGGCTTGGCTAAGTGACAGAGCTGGTATTTGAATTCAGGTCTGACTCATAAGTACCTACTCTTTTTTTTTTTTTTTAATTACATCATGTCGGCTATGGTATATGATACATTTAGTAAAATTTGAGAGGGCAAATCACATAATGCTTTTGAATCCTTCCCCTAATAAAATGTAATTTAAGTTTAACTACACTTAGTGCCTTAAAAAAAAAAAGGCAAAAACATATGAGCATATGATGGTCCAGAATGGTTTGCAATCAGCTATTTCCTGGCAACGGCTGACAACCTAGAAAAAAGAAAAGCCAGGCAACTATATTGTGTTGGTGATCTTTGATAAGCAGCTGAGCACTTAACCACTGTGCCATCAGGGCTCCTTATCCGTGATCCTTAAATCTTTTCTCCTGGAAATGCTATGTGGTTTTCTTTTGAGTCTGATAAAACTACTTTAAATCACATTTTTCTTTTCATCAGAATGTTTGAAACAATATCCAACATGAGATTCAAACACCTTTTTCTCTCAACAGTATGTGAAACATTAACAATCCAGTTTCAATCTTAACTTTTCATGTTTTGTTAAAGATACCTACACGCTACTTGACTGCTAACCAGAAGTCTGGTGGTTCAAACCCACCAGCCATTCCTCGGAAGGAAGGTTGGGCAATTTACTTCCGTAGTGATACTGCCTCGGAAACCCAAGGAAGGGTCGCTATGAGTCGGGGCTGACTTGACAGCACATAACAACAACAACAACACACTACTCTTAAGATTTACAAATGGCTTCTTTAAACTTTACTTATTTAACTCAAAAAACTCACTGCCATCAAGTGGATTCCAACACACAGCAACCCCTGTTCGGTTTCCAAGGCTGTAAATCTTTACACAAAGGCAAACTGTCTCATCTTTCCTCCACGGTGCAGCTGGTAGGTTCCAACCATCAATCAACCTTTTGGTTAGCAGCCAAATGCCTTAACCACTACACCACCTGAGCGCCTTTAGATTACCCCTTTAAAACTGTGCAATTCTTCAAAAACTACTTTCAATGTCTGTAAACCACCTACTTACCTGGCTAATCTACTAGATTTAAAACAGCTGGGAGATCAAAGCATTCTGTCCTGCATGAAGACAAAGATAAAATACTTTGGATATTTCCTTTCTATTGTGAGGCTTCAATATCTGGGAAGAGGGGGAGAGGAAAAAGAGGAAGAGAAGGCAGGGGGAGTTCAACGGAGAAGATACCCTGTCACTACTGTAACCATCAGTGGACTATACCCACTGCCCGCCTCCCCATTCCCGCGCTCCTTTGCATTTTTTGTTTGCCTAAGAGCTTCACTTACAGGCACAAGGAATATAATCTCTTAGCAGTAAATTCCTAAACCCCACTTCTCCTAGCGAACCATGAGCAAAACAACTTTAATGAGATTAAGGTTTCCAACAGCAGGTATTTATTTTTGTTGAGTCTGACAGCCACACGGTTTACCTGGCCAGACTCTGGACTGTCCGATCATGGACCCTTGACTCACATCACTAAGAAAGTCGCTGAGAAGAACGACGGCAAACTTGGGTAAGAGACAGGTGCCAAACTCCCAGAGAGGCAGGCAGGTACCTGGCCAGGGCCAGCAGCAGCAATGGATCTCACTCCCTCGCTCCCTCCAGAGTCGCCCGTGCTTGAACTGTCAAGGAAGAGAGTACAGCGTCTCCCGTTTGACAATAGGAAAACTGAGACCCAGAGAAGCGGATTTACTCATCCTAGGTGGCGCAGGGAGGAATCCCGGAACCCTAGGCTCCAAATTCCCAGGCCGGGGCAACTCGTAGTCCCAATCACCTCCACCCCCACCGCCCTTTCAGTATCCTGGTACCGCCCCCTGCCCAGGATCTGGGGCATTCCGTCTGGGCCGCTCTGAGGTCGATCAAGGCCACCAGGCAATCGAGAGGCCTGTTCTCTTTCCTGGAGACCCCGCTCGCGCACCTGCCGTTTTCGGGGCAGCTGGCAGAGCCCCGCCTCCGGGACCTCTCTTGAGAGCCGGCTCGCGTCACCAACCCCCACTGCCAGCCGGCTCGCGGAGTAGCGACCCGGAACCTCACGTTCACCAGCACGCCGGAAGTGGCTGTGCGAGAGGGCGGGCCCCTCGCCGTACTGCCGTGCGCATGCGCCTGCGTGTTCTCTCAGCTGCATGAAGCCCGTGCCTCTGGGCGGAGGCTCGGCTGGAGCTGCTGGAGGCAGCGAGTACCGGACCGGGCGTTTTCACTGGGCGGCTCGCCACGTCAGCGGGCGACTAGTCGGTAGATGATGACTGGGTCGCAGAATAACCTTTCTTTTTTAAATAATAATAATAAAAAAAACATGTTAGGGGTGGTGCAGAGCGGGAGAAGTAGGAAGGAGCTTCGTGGCAAAAAGGAAGGATTTTGACGCTGTGGGCCAGCGTCTCCTGTGCGGGATAGATTCCTTGTCCATAGTTTTCGCTGCTTGGCCTGCGCGCCAGCCACGGAAGTTAACAGGGAGCTTCCCCTCCTCTTCCCTCTGAGCCCTACGCAGCTGCCTTGTCACTGTTCAGTAGATGAACACAGGAAGTCTGTGCTTCCTTCTGCACACAGAAGCCCGTGGCTCCAGAAATAATGCTGGGATCTTGGGCCTTGTACTAATGTTTTAACTTTGGTGCCTTTAACTTTCTATAGGTTATACATTTTATTTTTTGGTTATACATATCACAACTCTGCACACAATGTATAATTGAAAGAAAAGTTTCTAAAGCCATACCCTTATCATTTGAACTGATGTATTTAAAAAAAAAAAAAAATCCACTTCCATCGAGTCAATTCCGACTCACAGCGACCCCCACTGGGTTTCCGAGGCTGTAAATCTTTAGGGAAGTAGATCCCCCTGTCTTCCTTCCATGGAGCAGCTGGTGAGTTTGAACCGCTGACCTTCTGGTTAGCAGCCAAACCCCCATCTTATTTTAAAACACGCTGCTACACGTTGTTAGGGGACGTGGAGTGGGCTCCAACTCATAGCGACCCTGTGTACAACAGAACGAAACACTGCCTGGTCCTGTGCCAGTCTCACAATTAATGATGTACATTAATATCACTGTAAAATATTGGTCTTTCTTCTTTCGACAGATGAATAAAGTTCAGGGAGCTAAACTGCCTTGTTCAAATTTGCACTGCAAATTAGTAGCTGACTTCAGGTGTCTGGACCCAAATTGCATTCGACGTTAAAGGAGCTCTTGTTCTTGCCTCACACCTAATACCAGCTCAAGCACGGGTCAGTGGATTGCACCTAATCTGCTGAACACCCCCCCCCCCCGTTCTAGTACTAACCACTAGAAGCTGGGCACAAACCAGGTGAATACATATCTTTCCACAATCCCAAGAAGACTGAAAGCATCTTCACCCTTTCACAACCAAATTATTTTCTGCTGTGAATTTTCTGTTGATACCATGTGCTTTTATTAATTGAGGGCATGCTGAATGAAGGAGCATTTCTGAAATTTTGTTACGAAGTAATAGATTCTGATAGTTATGTACAACACATATGTCCCTCCGGACTCTGTGCCACCTTCTAGATCCCTTGACAGATGCATACAATTTGGGGCACCTGAAAAATGAGTTACTGGTGCAAACGTGGAATCATTGCAAGAAAGGCAACTACCAAATAACACACCAAAAAACCAAACCACACTCACTGCCATCTGTAATGTAGGAGGAAGCTGCCAACTGACATAATGGGGCTTGGGTCTGCTTCGGCCTAACACCATCAAGTCAATTCCGACTCATAGCGACCCTCTTTGGGTTTCGGAGGCAGTAAATCTTTACAGAAGCAGATTGCCCAGTCTTCAGCACAGTGGCTGGTGGGTTTGAACCACCAGCCTGCTGGTTAGTGGTCAAATGTCTTAGGCACTATGCCACCAGAGCTCCTTAAATAACACACAAGAACCTGGAAATACACTTACAACACTTATCTCTCAGTAAAAAAAGCCCAAAAGACAAAAGTTTTGCAAAATCACACCTCCAGCATGCATCACCTCACACAATACCCTGTGAAAAGAATTTTGCAACACATGCCCATTTCATCCATTTCAAAAGGTCCCCTCCTGACAGCTGCAAACACTGTCAATGGGAATGGAGCTACCCAATAAACCTCATAGGAGGAAAATTTAGGTGAGAGCTACTATGTCCTGTGGGTCATGCAAGGGTTAAGTATTATCTGAAAGAAGCAAACCACAACAGTAATATTTTTGTTAAAAATATACAAGAATTACCAAAAACTTTAAGCAAATATGTTTATTTTTATATTGATGATACACTTAATATACACGTGGATTCAAGATAGAAAATTCATTTACAAGAGTTCACACCTGATGAATGTAGTCACATTCCTAGAGAACATTTATCAATGCAAAAAACGTATCAATACATTGACAACAAAAATCATGTATTCTGTAATCATGAGCATCTAAACAATTTTTAAATTTCCATCCACTAGTATTTGAGTGCCCTGAAGGTGGTAGGCACCGTACAACAAAGGAAAACATTGAAAGACGAGGGCTTACTGAATCTTCTCTGTAGAATCACAGTGTTTACTCTGAAATTCATTTAGTGAAGTAGTTAGTGAAAGGCTTGCTATCCT